TCATATTCACGGATTAAATTTTGTATTTACTTCTTATTAAAGAAGTTTATCCATTTTATAAAATACAAACGTTTGATAACTATAGATGTTATACACCATACTTGATTTTTTTTGACATTGGGTATATTTACTATAATCTTGAATATGACCTATCGCAGTACTTAATTCTTTGACAACTATATATAGTCATGAGTATTGTGAACTGAATACTTGTTGTAGGAGTAATTTAATCGACATTCACTACAGTCATGATGCCCTACCCTATTTGAGTTTATTTTGATTAAAAAAAACGATTATTTATACATATGCTATTCACTGATTTATGTATGAAAAATGACAGAAACACATTACGTACGTACAAATAAAAAGAAGAGTACGAACATCGATAAAGATTGTAGGGTTGGATTAGTCTAGTCCAGTCCAGTCCAAAAAGACCGGTCTTACCTCCTTTTAGATCAGTTCCAGCTTATTAATGGTCTTGTAAATCAGTTCCAAACCAATTTATTTGATAAATATATACGTATCATTAATATCTTATAAATTAAATACATGTTATTTCACGGTATGCATGATATCTGCGGAAATAACTATTACGAATAAAATAAATGCAAAGTAAAAATCACAAAAGTATATCTTCATTTCTCAATTTGAAAATTAAAGTCATAAGTTGCAATATATTAATTTTACATCTTATGACCACAAATTCGATATTGATTAATAAAAGTAGTCGTTTTTTCCGCCTCAATAGAGAGTGTTTCTACAAGAGCGTCATAATGTTCGGGCATTATGTTCATATTGGCTGGGAAAAAGCTTCTAAAAGAGCGGAGAGCAGCAGTACAAAATCTTAAAGTCTTTGTGTGTGCAAGCAAGTAGAAAGAGTATTTATTTTAGATAAATATTGCATGTTTGTGAATAAATCCGTTGATTTCATATTTACCTCTTCTCCAGATTTACCACCTTTCTTGCCTAAAACTACAGCTTGTTTTTTATTTTTAATTTCTGAAAATGCGTTTGTGTTTCCAAGAATGCGCGGAATCTCTTTCCCAATGTCACAATCCATTCCTTTCAATGTCATAAAATCTTGGACTAAAAAAAGCAAAATTAAATAAATCTGTTAGTTTATTAAAGATACAAAGACACAAAAAATATATAGCTTTTCTTACGTGCTTTTGAAAGTCTGTTTGCAACGTTTCCATCAGATGTATAATAACTATCACTTTCTACCAGCTCAACCCATCCATCTGGTCGAGTTAACCTTGTTATTTCTGGGATAACTTTCTCTTCCCATTGTGCTCCCGTATAAGCACAAACCATGAATTTTTGGTGAATGAAATCGAAAGACGCATCTTCATATGGTAATACATCTAACACATTATTCTCGACAAACGCCACATTTAAAGGAAGACCTTCTGTTGGAAAAATTGGAGATATGTCTATTCCCACAAACATTGAATTTGGATATTGTTTTGCCATATCCTATTTTT